GAGTGGGGGAAGCCCCATCCTTTTCCTTATCCCTCTCTGTCTCTCTCTCTCTCTCTCTCTCTCTCTCCCTCTATCTCTCTCTCTCTCTCTCTCTCTCTCTTTCTCTCTCTCTCTCTCTCTCTGTCTCTCTGTCTCTCTGTCTCTCTGTCTCTCTGTCTCAATCTCTCCCTCCCTCCGCAGCGAAATTCAGGCTCTAGTGCTCCCGACACTTCAGCAGCCGCGTTCTGCTTTGAAACGTTTCTTTAGGAACGAGGCCTGTTCTGTTCTTCTGTTTTTATTTGTATATTAATAAGATTAATATATTTTTACATAAAAGACTGTTTTAAAATCCCAGCATTTTTGATGCAAAAACAGCAACACGCCTAAATAAAACTGTCAGAGGAACATAGAGAAAAAGGAGAGACATATACATCTTGCTATTTTTGTGAGGACTTAACACACACAGTGCTCACAGCACCTCTGCCTCAGTCTGCTGCTCTTGTTTTTAACACCAGGCAAAAATGCATTTATAACAGCTGACGATAACTTTAGATCACTGTTTGAAGTGTACACCGAAGAGAACCAGCATCACGACTGCGGTCACAGCAAACGTGATCTGAGCAGCGTCTGGTTCACATGATGGTGGACGGCTGCGCTCGCTAAAACATAGCAGTGAGAAAAGACCGAAAGCTTTTTTATTTTTATCCAGCAGGGAGAACAATAGAGGTGTTTTTCTATGCCTCCTGTGAGCAGCTCCAGCATTTTTAAAAAGAAAAACAACGCGGACATGCTAATTACAGTGCGGCTTGAAAGTGAAAGTAAAACATGTCGCAGCGCTCCCGTGCGGAAAAGAAACTTAAACTCAACTGTTCTCTCTCCCCTCATATTCCGACACAGAGGGTAGAAACAGCTAAATTAGACAGTTAAAACACATTTACAGTTCATAACTCACACTTGTTGTTGTTAGCACTCTGTCTCACAAGATTAGCTGCTGCGCTGTCCCCGGGAGGGGGCGGACACATGCGCTCGCATGACCCAAAGAATGGATCAGCTGAACGGACGGCGTATTGGCCGATACGATACAAGGAAAAAATACAAATATTGGCCAAAAATATCGGCCGGCCGATGTATCGGTCGACCCCTACGACATATGTTACCTCAGGGCACTGTACATAAAAAAGAACAATCTAAAGAAGAAGCCAACAGGCTGCGTTGAATCACTTCATCACAGTCTCCCATCTTGAGGAAACGGTGGAGAGGAAAAACTCCCTGCCAATCAGGAAGAAACCTCCAGCAGAACCAGGCTCAGGACAGATGGCCATTTGCCTCGACAGGCTGGGTTGGGGGACAGGAACGAGACACAGGTAAACACAGAAGAACTGGTCCAGGTGCACCTTCTTCTGGAAGAGACAAAGAAAAAACATGTTATTGATAGAAATAATTACAATAAACATGTAGAGGAGAGAGACTAAAGACAACAACAGAGTGAGGAAACGTGCTCAGTTTGTGCTCCAGCAGTCTATAAGTCTATAGCAGCAGAAATGAAGAATAATTCAGGAAACCTAAGTCTAACTATATGATTTATCAAAAAGGAAAGTCTTCAGTCTAATCTTAAAAGTAAATGGTAAATGGACTGTACTTGTACTGTATATCGCCTTTCTGTCCATCCAGGACACTCAAAGCGCTTCACACTACAGACATTCACCCATGCACACACACATTCACACACTGATGATGGCAAACTACAATTGTAGCCACAGCTGCCCTGGGGCACACTGACAGAGGCGAGGCTGCCATACACAGGCACCACCACCATCAGTAGGCAAGGTGGGTAAGGTGTCTTGCCCAAGGACACAACGACTGAGTCGACTGGATGGGGATCGAACCTGCGACCTTCCAGTTCCAGGACAACTCCCCTAACCACTCTACCACAGCCGCCCCAAGTAGACAGAGTGCCAGCCTCACGGACAGAAACTGGAAGTTGGTTCCACAAGAGAGGAGCTTGATAACTGAAAGCTCTGCCTCCCATTCTACTTTTAGAAACTCGAAGAACCACAAGTAAACCTGCAGTCTGAGAGTGAAGTGCTCTGTTTGGAAAGTATGGAACAATAAGATGTTTAATATAAGATGGAGCTTGGTTGTTAAGAGCTTTATATGTTAGGAGTAATATTTTAAATTCTATTATAAATTTGACAGGGAGCCAGTGGAGAGAAGCTAAAACTGGAGAAATATGATCTCCTTCCAACTCTGTAGCAGCAGAAGAAGATGCAAAGAGGAGATCTTACAATTGCCCCTCTTAAATACCCTTTCTCATAATTGGAGTCACCTGTATATGGAGGTCAAAGGGCCACTGAACTTACCAAACCAAATTTGAGTTCCAATAATTAGTTCTAAAGGTTTTGAAATAAAAAAAATGACAACAGTGCCCAAATTTATGCTCCTGGCTAATTTTGTTTAACCAATTGCACACTTTCTGTAAATCCTATCAAATTTATTTCACTTCTCAAATATCACTGAGTTTGTCCCCTATATGATATATTTAACTGATTTTTTTAAAATCTAAACAATCAATGATTTATAAAGGTAAATCAGGGAAATTAACAGGGCTGCCCATCTTTCGTACCCCACTGCAGGGTTTCCCCTACATGTAATTGATGGTGGCGCACCGCCACGGCTAAATAAAAGCCGCCACACCTTTGGAATGAAGTTTTTTTTGGTTTGTTTTTTTAAATCAACGTAAAAACGGGTTGACACAATCATGTCCGAGACAACCTATTTTCGTTTCGGACAACCAGATCCCGCCTCTCAGTTGTCCGGTGGACAACCAAGAAAAACAAAATAGCGCTGCCTTTTTCCTTTCTCTGTGGGTCGGTGGTCAGCTTCCCTCAGCTCAGATGAACACTTCCCGGGGCGTTTCCTGGACTATTTTCCACCGAGGATTATGTATTTCTAAAAGCACCTCGCAGCATTTCTCCTGTAACACCATGTGTTCACGAGCACAACAAAACCGTGACAGATCACCTGACTGGTATTAAAGCGAGGGGCAGTTTGACCACTGCTGCTGCAACTGTCCACCTGCAGCAAGACTCCGACCAGCCCAGGACTTCAGAGTCCACATGTCAACCCCTTCAGATGGTTACTTGTATAATGAGCATCAAAAATCTGTAATTTGCGCAAAAAATCAGTTTAAATCACATGCGGGTGGAGCGGAGGTGCGAGCAGACCGCAGCCGCACGGGGG